TCCACTTCCCCCCTACGTAGGAGGGCTGACCCCCTCAGCAGGATGGAGCCCACCAGCCCCACTGCAGACCCTCCGCTGACCTCACTCCTCCATTGCTTGCAGGGCCCGTGACTTTCCTGAGGGCCCTCAGCATGGTCCTTCACATGAGCTATAAACGAAGTAGGCACCCCTCCAAAAGAAGAAGATGGAGCACACTCATTGGACCTAGTGCCCAGCCCTAAGACACCCCTGTCCTCTATCCCAGGGTATATTATGAGCCAGACAGCTTCTGATGCGGCTCCCAGGGATCTCCGCCTTGCTTATCTATGCCCTTGGGTAATTCCCTCCCGTGGAGTGTGTCATTTGTTAGTAATGAATAGTACACAGAGAAAATGATATACTGTCCCTTCTGTGATCCAGTTGCAGCAGAATGGAACGTCCGTCTGACTGGCATTCTCCTTACGAGGACTTTTGCCTCATGCACTTTGTTGAAGTAAGCTGCCTGCTTTGGTTTGAATCTGCTCCCCCAAATTTCATATGTTGGAAATTTAATCCCCTGATTCCTATGTTAATGGTATTAGGGGGAAGATTTGGGGAGGTAATTAGAATAGGATGAGGGTTGGTTCCTCAGGATGGCATTAATGTTTTTATAAGAAGAGGAAGAGTGATCCATGCTAGCATGCTTGCTCTGTCTCCACCATGTAATGAAGCAGCAAGAAGACCCTCCCCAGATACCCAGCAAATACTTTCCCCAGATACCCAGCCAGAGAATTCCTGTGGGTCAGCAAATACTACTGCCATGCTTTTGGGCTTCCCAGTCTCCGTAACTGTGAACTACCTAAACCTCTATTCTTCATAAATGACCTAGTCTCAGGTATTTTGTTCTAGCAACAGCAAACAGATGGACACACTACAATTTTGGAAAAGCTCACATGAAAAGATCTGAGTGTATCCAACTGCTAAAACTGGTGAGGAACTGCAACCTCAATCAAATAGCCCACAAGGAACTAAGTCCTAGCATGTGAGTGGTTTAGAAGTGAATTCTTCCCAAGTGGAACCTTTAGCAGAAGGTTCTAAGCTAAGCCCTGCTCAGCCTCCCAACACGCTGACACTAAGATAACAGATGTGTATTGCTTTAAGCTGCTAAGTGTTGGTGTCACTTGTTAACAGCCATAGAGGAGAAGACACATGTATCTAGGATTTCCCTATAAAAGCCAGCCCACAATAGGGTTAAGATCTCATATTGAATAAGGAGCCGTATCTTCAAATAGTCATAAATTCCCACCGGCTCGGCACTGTCCGTTATGCATGAATTTGTCTCTTGGACCTCATAAGAGGAAGTCCCTGGGCAAAAACAGAACAGAACATCCTTGTATCTCTTCTCTAAATGTCACTTTCATCTCACCCTGACATGTGGCCTAATTTGAGCGAGCCGTGTGTCAGAGAGACCAGACTGCAGGAGACGACCGTCCACAATGGACAGGGTGTGGTGGTTCACTCTTTGGACAGGCCTTGAGCTCAACTCTTTGGGAACCAGATTCACTCGGCTTGCTTTCAGGAAGCGGTGAGCCAGAGAATTCCTGTGGGTCACAGTATTCTCCCAACAAGCAAAAATACAGGATCCGAGACGTCTGGCTTTCGGGTTTGGGGAGTCAGGTATTGACAGGGTGGTACTTGGTTGGATGTCTCAGATTCGGTTCCATCTCTTTCTTGCTTTGTATTCCTTCCTGATTACACCGGCATCTCAGCTTGCATTCGAGGTTTTAAAAAAAGAAAGAAAACATGACAGGAATTAGATCAGAGGGTTTAAGTTTGTCGTCGTTGGTTTGAAGAGTCTCCATCATCTGCTCTGAGGCTGACTCTGGTCATCCCACTGACAGGCCTAAAATCTGGTGTCGTGTCTCTGCAGGGATGGAAGGCACCATGGGGAAGCAATTCCTTTCCCATCGGTCTTATTTCTTTGATGCTCCCAAATTCATTAATAATTCTGGGGAATGACTGTGTGATGGATAGAAAACTGATCACAAACTTGCCATCCTCTCCTCCATGGGCCTATGCCGGGTGGTTTGGCACTGCCTGCCGCCTGTAGTCTAAAGCAGCAAGAAGACTCTCCCCAGATACCCAGCAAATACTGTTGCCATGCTTTTGGGCTTCCCAGCCTCCATAACTGTGAGCTAACTAAACCTTTATTCTTCATAAATGACCCAGTCTCGGGTATTTTGTTCTAGCAACAGCAAACAGATGGACACACCACAATTTTGGAAAAGCTCACATGGCAAAGAACTGAGGGTATCCACCTGCTAAAACCTATGAGAAACTGCAACCTCAATCAAATAGCCCACAAGGAACTAATTCCTAGCATGTGAGTGGCTTAGAAGTGAATTCTAGGAGTCTGTTTCTCCACCTGCTGATTTACCATATGGGAAAGGAGCCAAGGCTTGGTGAGCCCTTGAGCACTGGGCTTCTCTCCTAGTCCTGCCCCTTGGAGTCATTAAATCCACTCTGTGAAGAAGCCCCCCTTAGCCTCTTGGACCACCCAAGAGCACTCAGAACAAAAACAGCCATCCTACTGACCAGGCCATCAAACACCCATAAGTGAATGAGGTCCTCCTGACATTGTCACCAGCTGAGCTTCCCGCTGCTTGAAGATACACGGACAAGTCCATCAGAGATAAGCTGCTGCCTAGACCAGAAAAGCCACCCTCGTGAGCCAAATAAATGGTATTTTTGAAAAATCCACTGGCTTTGAGGTGGTGTGTTACTCGGCATTAGGCAGCTGATGTAGATTTTTATCATGTGAACGTTTCTCCCAACTCATCTCGTGGGTGGATTTTCAGGCCCAGAAAGCAAAAGCCTATAATTCCTCAGAGGGTGGAACTCAGGCAGTGAACGTGCCTGTGAAATGATACTGACCTTCATGGTCAAAGGCAAAGCCGGGAGCCACTCCTTTAATGGCTTCTCATACATCACCAGCTGCAAAGAACCTTTGGGGTAGACTAAAATTCCTGTCCACAGAGAATCTGAATGTGCTTCCTGAACCTATATCCCTTTTGTTCCAAGAACCCATTCCTATTGGTGTGCAGAGCGCTGTGGAATTCCGTTCTTGCGTTTTGAGCATCACTCTGACCCTAGCTGTGGAGGAGGTGCTGCTCGTGATGTGTGTGGAAATGGCCTCTCAGATGGTCCCCAAGGATCTTGACCTTCCAGTGATTTCACCTTGGATAATCCCCTGGACCCCAGGCTGAAAATAACTGACTCGATTCTAAAGAATAGAAAATAGCAACAAGATGGGATGCCACTTCTGAGATTGGGTTATAAAAGGTCTGCGATTTCCACGATGGTCACCTCATTGGAATCATTTGCTCTAGGGGAAGCCAGGTCCTGTGTCCAGGGGCAGCCCTATGGAAAGGCTTATGTGGTGGGGAACTGAAGTTGCCAATAATTATGTCAGGAAGCTTGGGAGTGAATTCCAGATCATCCCAGTTGACTTTATGTGCAACTTGGCCAACCTCGTAAGAGGCTATAAACCATCTAAGTCACACCCAGATTCCTGACCCACACATATTGAGAGATAATCAATATTTGTGGCTTTAGAGTCTGGGGGGTGGCTTGTTACACAGCAATGGATAAGTAGTACAACTTCGGTTCAGTCAATCAACCTGCCTTCTCTCTCTCCCCAGACCCTGTTTGGTTCAGGAATGCACCTGTGAACAGGCTGAGCCAGAGTAAAAACAGATTGTTTCACAGAAGAAGACTTTTAGAGAAGCTCCCACTCTTTCTTATGGGACTTGATCCTAAGAAGATGAGAGGCTGGATCTTCTGCAGCCATTTTGTCCCCATGAGTGGACAGTTCTGGACTATCTTGTTGGTCTCCATCGCCCCAGCACCCAGGACTCCACGGGGTTCCGAGTAGGCACTCAATATTTATTAAATAAAAGATGGGTTTATATCTAGCAGATGGAAAAGTGGGAGAAGCTGGCACGCAATAGTAACCTCTTCTCTAATGCCATCTTAAATGGAACCCGTCTAGAAACCTCTACAAGAAAACCCATGGATTCTTGTTTTCTAAATATGGTATGCAGAATGCACAGTTTCTCCTTTAAGTTGAGGTTGGCTCCAGCCAATTTTAACTGGCAGAGTTTCTAAAATTCTGCCGAGATGAGCTCACTAGGTAGGATCAATGGATTCACTCTATCTGCCTAATTGCTCCATTTTACTGGGACTCCTCCAAGAAAGGAGATGAGCAAACCCCGTAGAGAGAGAGTCCTAATGGCCTGAGCGTGACAGGTCTGCTCTCAGTTTACCCACCAGCCTCAGCAGTGACGCAGACGACTGGATTACTACATGTTTCAGAAAGAAAAATAGAAGCAGGATTTCATTCAGAGAAGACAGCATCAAGCTGACACAGTGATGCAGCTCCGCGACACTCTGCTCTCACCCCGCGGGGACTCCTTATCATGCCCAAAACATTGAGAAGCAACTTGCCTTATTTCCTCAAGTTCTCCTGGGCCTCCGTGGAGAAGTGCAGCTGTTGACAAACGGGCCCTCTTTTTCTGTTGTCTTTGTTTGTTCGTTTGCAGATGCTAAGCTGAATTAGGGTAGCACAGTAAGAGATATGTGTGTGCCTTTTCCAAACGGTAACACCCTCACAGACCACAGAAAGTGCCCTCTGTACAGAGGCCAGCCTCCTTCCTGACCTCTGTCATGGGTGGGATGAAATTTTTGTTATGTATTTTGTACTTAATGATAAACACGAACCACATGGACTAGGCAACTGTGTAGGTACCCGGATTATTATGGGCACAGGGAAATACTGAGGTCATCAAGCCTGTGACACACCCAATGTACCCCCGCCCTCCTGCCAAGGGAATCTGAAGGTCTGGAAATTCATTTAAAACATCCCATTTCCAAAATGTTAATGACGATTTTAATGAAATAAAATTTTGCCCGAGTGAAATGAAAGTTCAATCCGCTGGCAATACCAGCCGGTCGACCTAAAGACAGACACACAAACGAGAGAGTGTGCATATATTAATTCAGTTTAATCATATCAATTCTTAAACAAAACAAAACAAAAAAAAATGTTTTCCTCCAAGAGACAATAGTTCACAGTAACTGCAAAGCTTACAACTTTTAAAAATACCGGTCATGCTGAGCATTCAAAGAAGATATTAGAGAATAACTGTAAAAACTTTTTTTTTTTTTAACCAGGAACATCAGCTTCTGACTTTAAAAATTACAAATACGGAAGCATTTTGGTGTCAGACACAGTAGTTTTGACATCGTCTTGTTGATTCGATGAAGTTTCTGGAAGTTTGGAAAATTGTACCTCTATCACTGGATAATGCGCTTATTCCTAAACTAAACATTTTCAAATGGTAGAAAACAAACTAGCAAGCTACACATACAAAGAAAAGCCCTCTAGACAAGCTCTCCTCATGCTGGACGCCAGCACAGGGCACCATGAATCCTGGAAGACTAGAAGTGGTACATACACAGCGGCCTGAAGTCCGGCACCCCAGGCTGAGCAGTGGAGTGTGCATTCACCTACACGTTAATGACAAACTCGGGGTTAGTGTAAGAGAAGCCAGCAAATTCATTTTGGTCCAAGTTCATGATGAAGAGTTTATCAGTGGGAGTCAGTTCCACAGGCTGCCTGGTGAACTCTTTGTCGAAGTTGGAGGTATCTCGCTTGTCTCTCTGCCAAACGGAAAGCACACACACATTAACACAAGCAGAAGAGGGAGGAAAGTGACCAAGACAGCCGGCGACTGCCAGGCCGATGGCATCTCAAGAGCAGAGGCAGGAAGAGCCCTGGACGGGCAGGTTTTAGCAGGTCCCTTATGGGCACATTTCACATTGCATGTTGGTATAGAAACCTTGGTGGATTTTTTTTTTTTTTGAGAAAGGAAATAAATCACTGAGTTTCTTTAAAGATTGTCATAAAGAGTTGCGGGTGTGTGTTGGGGGCAGTGTGTGTGTGTGTGTGTGTGTGTGTGTGTGTGTGTCTGGGGGGGCGGGGTTCTTTGAGAGAATAGCCGAGAATTAGCTATTAGATAGAGTGTCCTGCACAGAAACCTGCTCAACAGCACCCCCTGTGTCTGGGAGGCCTCCTTCTTTGGAAAAGAAGCCATTCACAGCACAGAGTTAAAATGGTCCCATGGGGGAAATCAGGTCTCTGCTCAGCAAAAGGAGCTGAGCACGGTCCACTCCACACTCGCTGGTACAATCCAGGCTTCTAAGGGGCTGCTCTAAAGCCCACCTCCAAAGCCCTGCAGAGCAGAATCTGGGTCTTCATGAGCCAGAGGTTCTCTCTAAAAATGTTTCTAGCATCCTAAGCAACAAAACCCAAAGCTTCAAAGGTCTGTGAGAGCAGCTTAAAATATGGAACAACTCCATTCCCCTGGCTAGTCTGGGCTTTCTTTCTCTCTCTGGTTTTAAGTGTGTGTGTGTTGTGGGGGGGAAATGGACCCCAGTTTACAATCTAAAGTCTGGGGCAAGTTTGATCAGGGACCATCAATCAGAGTGTGAGCTCTTCTGCATGATATTTTAACTTTTGGGGGGTCCTTGTCAGTCTATGACCTCTTCCCATCCTCACCCCACCCACCTGGAGGGCAGGTGGAGCTAGGGTCCTCACCCCATTGTGTGACATGAGAAAATGGAGGCCGTTCTAGGCAAAGTGACTGGCCTAGGATTGCACAGTGGGTGGCTGATTCTTACCTGACCATATAACTGCTAAGTAGGGCCCCAACACAGTCCCTGTGGCTGCAGAGACAGCCTGATGGCTGTGTCATTACAGAACAATCAAAGATAATGCATTGGATTCAGTGACCCCAGGGAGGTTGCCTGGCTGAAACCAGAGTTATGTCAGACTACAGAGGGCAGGGTCAGAAAGGACTGGCTGATTCGAGTTTGGCCAGTCTCCTGGGGCTGAACTGAAATCCAGGCTTCAGGTTTAGCTCCTCGTGGGCACCGAAGGATAAGGATGTACTATTGCTGGACTTGTTTCCTTCTGCAAAATGCCTTTTACGAGAGCTGCTTCTTTTAGGATGCGCCCCTGATAGAGGCGAAATGTCTCTGTGCAGTTCCCCACTCCCCCTTGGGGTGTCTGAGTGGGGGTGTGCAAGGGAGGGAGACAAAACTAGTATCAGAAATATATTTGGGAGCTGGGGATCTAGCTCCGTGGGTCAGTTGTGCTTTGCACACACAAGGCTCTGTGTTCAATCCCCAGCACCACAACAAAAGAAAGAGAGAAAGAAAGATACTTGAGTGATTGCCCATCCCAGAGCTTGTAATGTGGACAGAACTCGATTCAAGCAGTTTTACAACAAAAAAAAAAAAAAAAGAAAGAAAGAAAGAAAAGAAATATATTCTGGTGGGTGTGGCCAAAGAGGACCCGGCTACAGATACAGGTGAAGCCATTTTCTGGATGGTGGGATGCCTCCTGCATGTCCCATCTGCTCCACCTCCTCTTGCCTGGTCTGCTGTCAGCGTGTGCTGTGCTATGTATGGGTGGGGAGGGTGTCCAAGCCTAGGCACTCTGTGTGTCACTTCCTGTGTCCAGGGGGAAACTCAAATGCCTCCTTTTCCTTTATTATCTGTGCATCCCTCTGCATCCTTTTAATTGTCTGCATTGCACTGACTGCTTCCGGTCTTGTTTATTTGTGATTTCTCTCTAGGAGGGCGCGGCCCTGGTCTGCTTCTTTGCTATTGTATTTTCAGTACCAAGAAAAGTCCCTGACATGGAGGAGGCCCTTCCTAATTATTTGTGGAGGGAATAAATCCATGAATGAAGGCTTGACTGAGGGTGCGCTTCTTTGCTTTTGCCCATTTATAACCACCCTGAGCCAGGGATCTCACTCTGAATCCATTCCCACGGGCCCTCAGGATCTCCCCCGTGGACACTAGGTCGAACCCCAGCAGGAACTGAACTGTGTGCGGGCCCTTCAAGGTCTGGGAGTTCCAGGGCTGGGTGTGGGACAGAAGGCGGGCATATCCCGAGTCAGGAGATGGACAGCTGCCTCCCTTGAGGTCTCCTCGGGCACCGTCACCCTACCTGGCCTTCCCTGCCCGGGAGCTTGGAGCAGAAGTTGTTTTCCCACCATCCCTGACTTTGGAAGTCCTTTCTCAATCGCTCTTCTGGTGAAGACCCATGCTGCAGGCAGCCTCATGAGTCCAAATAGCATTAGCCTTTAAGGCCTCTGTCCTGCGAGTAGATCCTTCTGAAAAGTACTTGAGAATTGTACCCTAGAAGTTGGGAGAGGGTGGTCCTCTCTGTTGGGACAATTTCTTTGGGGTCAAAAAGCATCTGAAGCCATGTGCGAACAGTAGACCTCATCTAGAGGAGGTTACTAATGCCCCGGGCTTCTAATAAATCCTCCAAGAAGGTCCTTGTGACTGTGGTCCTATCCTATTAGAAGAGCAGAAGAAGGTCAGAGGAAAGTCCACAGAAGAAATCCAAACGGGGGGTTCTTGGACGCTGGTGGACGATTGGCCATAGCTAGCTAACAAGGACATTGTTGAGGTGACTTTGAATTTTCTAATTCAGTTTCTTTTTAAATCCTCCCCTAGTTTAAGTTCTTTTGGAACATCTCAGCCTGTCTCAGGTAGGCCGGAAGAACCAGGTGTGGCCATGTGGAGACCGTGTGCTTTAAGGAGAGGGTGGGAATAGGTGGTACCTGCAGAAGTCTGAAAAATGCTACCTGAGAGGTGACACTCCAAACTCAGAACCCTGCCATACAGACCAGCCCTGCCCTCCTCCATGGAAACAGGCCACATGGGTGGGTGTCTGTCTCTGCTCAGCTTCTCGGTGATTCTGTGATCTGTTCCAGCATGCAAACTGTGCCTTTGGTCTTCTAGAAGGGAGTCGCTCCCATGGACCATCCTCCCTCTCCTCCCCACCCATTGCACTATCTGATTGTTCCAGAAACCCAGCCTCAAACTGTGGTCTCTAAAGAGGAAGAGAAGCCGGTGAAGATGTTGGATGATATCTTTCTTTGTTAAGAAGCTGTTCCTGACTGATCCAGAGACTCGGTATCTCTAGAGCACACCTTGATTCCAATTCCTTGTTGAATGGCTGCCCTCCCCGCAGATGGTATGCGAGAGGAAAAGGAGGCAGGGGTCAGATTGCATCTTGATTATGACCTACTGTGCTCCTGGCAACCAGCCGGGCACACACTGGGTGCTCAGTAAATGCTTATCTGAGTGAACGGAGGGCAGGATCAATGGATGAAGGCAAAAGTAAAAGTTTTTCCTCCTGGATAAAAATTTGCAAAGGTTTTTTTTCCCCAGAGATTACAGATGATGCAAGTTCTGTTTCTGGATTCCTGTGTACGAGGAAGTGTTGCTGGAAACGGAAACAGGAGGAATTCTGACTAATGATCCCTCATTTCCAGAGAAGGCTTCTCAAACCAACCCTTAGCCAGGTCATGCTAGAGGAACGGAGGCTTTGGCTTGAGTATCTATTTCTGCCAACTAGGAAACTCGAAAAATAATGGCAAGATTTTGGAAAATGTAGAGTGCAGTATATAAATATACACTTATATTCTATCTATCTAACTATCTATCTACCTATCCATCCTACACTGTTTTCTAAGGTTATCTTCGATCATTTGTCAATAACCCAATGTTTCTCTATGTGTTTTATCCTGAGAACATATCCAAGGAGAGGCCTGGTGTCCCTGCCAGATGACAGACCTCAAATAACTTGCCTATGGGTGGGCATGGGGTCACAGGTCCTTGTCAGGGTGCTACAGAGCAGAAAGAGTCCTATGCTGATGGTCAGGACACCTGGGTTTGGGTCCCAGCTGAGTGACCTTGGGCAGGTTACTTCCTCTCTCCAGTTTCCCCAAGAATAAAGTAAGGGGCAGGGGGAGGGTTGGCCCTGATTTCCCTCTTTCTCCAAACTCCTAGTCAGCTGGGACTTCAAGTTTGCTCCACCTTAGGTCCAGACTGTTCTACAATGGTGACAGCAGGCTTGGTCCCCAAGACTGAAGCAAGGTAAACTAAGAGGGCCACAAAGAATGGTCCACAAGGGACTTTGCCTCGGCAGAATCCCAAACGCATGGTCTCCTTAAAGGGGAGAAGTCTTGCTTCAAGGACATCTGTCAAGTTTTTTTAAGTTCCTTTGACAGTCTCTCAGAAGCCCTGGAGTTTCTGGAACTTTCTTCGACTGGGGTAAGAATTCTTTTCAGGGTGGCCTGAGAACGGCAGGAAGAAGTAGGGACAGACAGACGAGCTGTCCCCACCCATTCAGATAGAAATGTCTCCCTCCCAAGAGGGTCTCCCTGGGCTTCTGGGATCTCCCAGAGTTGCTTGCTATGAAGGATATTTAGTCCAAGCTGGGAGGACTGGGGATTTCAAAAATAAAATCAAGAGCCCCAGACATGTTCACTGCTGGCCTCTACACTTGATTTGGGTGGAAATGTGGACTTTGGGCTTCGACAGTGTCCCCAGGCTCTGTACCAGTGTCTCTGCCTGGCTCAATACTGGGGGCTGAGTCTAAGCTCTGGATTTAGTTCCTTTCTCTTGAAATTCCTTCCTCGGGCCCTACTTTGTAGTTTGGGTCCGCATTTTTTTTTCAAAGAGAGTAGTTTTCCTTGAAATAGTATTTTCTTTTCTTTCTTTTTTTTTTAAATTGTATCTTGATGCTAGAAGAAAAATGGCACATAACACAAATCCAGACACAAATGAACATTTCC